ACAACCACCCACCCACCCACCCGGGGGGAGCTCCCTCTATCTTTCCCTCCCATTTCTGTGAGAGAGCAGGCCGGTAATCCCCCCGCGGTAACCCCTCAATCCAGGCTTACACACATACGTACAAACATACCTGGAAGTAGGCGGAGCAAATGGCCTTCCGTACAATGTCCCAGTCGCTCCCCGCACTGGTGACGGCAATACCGCTCTGAAGGGGGGTCGCGGGCGTCGAGGGGTTGGGCGGGAACGGCAGGCAGGGCGGGAGGGGAGGGAAGAGAGGGCGGAGGGGGGACATGGACCTGACAGTACCGGGGCGTACACACACATACGCTCATATGCATCATCACTCACACAGGTTTGGCCACCATTACATACAGACAGGCAGACCCACGCTCAACTTGTTTTGGTCCTTAACGAGTTAATGAGTTAGTGAGTAGTTAGGTACGCGTGTATGTATGTCGGCGCACTTGGCTCCCATCCCACCCCCACCTGCGTCATGATATCCGCCAGTTGCTGTCGAACCTCCTTGGCCTTCCTGAGGCCCTTGGCTTGCAGGAAGTGCCGCTCACACCAGTCGCCCCTTCCGGCGTTTCCCGATAGGGAGGGGTGAGTGGAGGGGGTGAGTGGAGGGGGGGTGAGGGAAGGGGGTGAGTGGAGGGGGGGATGAATGACACGCAGTGTGGGGGCCGGTGCCCACCATGGGCCCCATGGGCAGCGGTTGGCAAGTGCGATCACGCGCGGGGCCCCAAGGTGCGTGAGTGGGGGGTGGGGGGTGGAGGGTGGGGGGTTGGGGTTGGGGGTTGGAGGTTGGGGGGTGGAGGGTACGCCCAACGCAATACACCCTGGTCAGAAAGGAAGGGGGAACGTAGAGGGGGAGAGAAAAAGGTGTGTGTGGGGGGGGAAAGAGGGGTGGGCCGAGAGAGGGGAGAGCCGGGTTCAAGTTGGAGAGGTCTACTTACTGTGGAGTGTATGTGTATGCGTATATGTGTATGAACATTTCCGTACGGACGTGTCCAGCAGTTAGACTGGCACGTGTGTGTACGGCATGTTGTGTACTCCGCCCCGAGTAGGCAGCAGGCAGTGGCCAAGTAGTTGGTAAAGTCGTACAAGTCGTTAACCCGCCCAACGGGGGGGTTGCGGTGGTGGTGGTGGTGGCGCCCTCCCACCCCCCCCCAAGGGGGGCCCACCTGTAGCCGTTATTCTTCCACTGGTTGTACACGTGCAGCAGTGTGAGGTGGTCGGACTCCGGTACGAAGAACTTCTCCCGGGCCGCGTCGCTCTCCTCGGCCCGGTCGGGGGGCCGGAAGAACACGGGCGGCACCGACAACATGGACACGATGGTGAGGACCTGACGGGGGGGGGGAAGGAGCTTCCCTCCCTCAGTTCCGTACTCTTTCCCTCCGGATCCCCCCCAGGCCCCCCCCCCACACACACGCACGCGCACACGCATGTGGCTGCTTAGCTGCTTAGCCGTTAATTCGTTCTGTGGTCCCCAAACCACATACCCACGAAACGGGGGGACACAACAATACAACCGCTGCAAGCCCTTTCCTCCCCCTCCTTCCCCCTCCCTCAGC